GCTGGAATTACAGGCATGCACTACCACGCCCGGCTGATTTTTTGATTTATTGTAGAGATGAGGTCTCACTGCCCAGGCGGGTCTCAAACCCTCAGGCTTAGGCAATCCACTCACCTCAGCCTCCCAAGGGCACGGGATTACAGGCTGAGCCACCAAGCCTGGCTCTTTTTTTTTTTTGAGTTGGAGTCTCACTGTTGCCCAGGCTGGAGTGCAGTAGCACACTCATGGCCACCCCAGTATCGACCTACTGAGCTCAGGTGATCCTTCTACCTCAGCTTTCCAAGCAGCTGGAACTACAGGTGTGCACTACCACGCCCAGCTAATTTTTTGCTTTATTGTAGAGACAGGGTCTCACCAGGTTGCCCATGCTGGTCATGAACCCATGGCCTCAGGCAATCCTCTCACCTCAGCTTCCCAAAGTGCTGGGATTACAGGCTTGAGCCACTATGTCCAGCTGGTTACTGATTCTTTAACCAATTATTGAGATTTTAATTTCAGGCATTGTAATTATGAGTTCTAGACCTTCCATTTTAAACACAATTTTCTATGCTCTTCCAAAATGCTCGGTTTTTAAAAAATCTTTTGTTTCCTTTTCTTTGTTAAGTAAAAGTTATTTTAAATTCTGTGTTTTATAACTTTATTATTGTCTCTTTATATTGCCTGCAAATCTCTTGTTTTCATTTAAATTCTTTTGTGTCCTTATATGCCTGGTATTTCTGACTGAGTAGTTGACTGCATATGTGATAAATTGTAGAGAAAATTGGAGGCTCTGGATCATATTATATTTAATCAGAGGAGATTAATTTTTGCTTCTCACAGATCCAGGCAGCACAAGTGGATACATTAGCAACGAAGATAACCTTATTCTAGTCAGAGATTAAGTTGATTTGAAGCTGAACTTTAGTTTGTGAATGGCTTCTCTCTCTGGGATATCTCTATCTGTTTCTCTAATTTTAAAAATGATTTTATGCTGATTTTATTTTAATTATGCAAACATAGTTTGAATATTTCAACTGGCTTTTTCAATTGGTTCAAATTACCTGGCCTCCTGTTACTAGAAGCAGAAGTCCCTGGGAAGTAGCTTTGGCCATAAATTTCAATCCAAATTGCTGATCATTTATTGTTTATTCTGTCTCCCCCCCCACCATTTAGCCTTCAGATCTGGAGAGAGAATTGGTGGATAAGATTGAGAGCAAGTGGTCCGATCTGTTTAATGATTCAGTGACTGTGGAGCATGCCCTTGGGGGTATAAAGAGAACTTTCACAGAGGTACCTTTTATATTTTGCTTTCTGAGTAAAGATATATTTAAAATGTATTTGGGCTAAATTGACATAACCTTGTTTTTCTCAGATTACTCGAGGTGAAATAATGAACTACAGAGCTAATATAGAGGAGTTTGCAAAACGTTTTTATAGTAAAGGTCCTGGTTCTGTTGGTGATGATCTTGATAGAGGTAAGATAGTCTTGTTGGTGTTACTGAGCAATTTGGGTTTGCTTTGGTTAAGCATCTCATGAGAAGTGGTCATTGTGCTATGATTTAAGTATTTATTTCCTCAAACACTTTTTTCTTGGCTAGCTCTAGTGGCTGTACATAGATTAATTCAATTCATTGACTATTGCGTGCCTTCCTTGTGAAGGCACTGCGAAAAGTATTATGGAGTAGTGGTCACTACTGCAGGGGACAGAGAGATGTGGTGTTATGATATATTTTTCTTTCTTTTTAAAATTTAAAACTTTTAAATTTTATTTGTTTTTCTTTGTTTCAATAGCTTTGGGAGGTATTTCTTTTTTTTTTGAGACAGGGTTTTGTCTGTCACCCAGGCTAGAGTGTAGTGGCACAATCACAGCTCACTGCAGCTTTGACCTCCTGGGCTCAAGTAATCCTCCTGCCTCAGACTCCCAAATGCCTGGGACTACAGACATGTACTACCACACCTGGCTAAGTTTTCTATTTTTTGTAGAGATGGGGTCTTACTTTGTTGCCCAGTCTTGTCTCAAATTCCTGGTCCCATATTTTAATGTATCGGGTTTTGGTCACAGTTTCTGGCTCATAACTCCCATAGCCTTTGTTACAGTCTTTTATTACAATGTTGGGAAACAGACTCTCTCCAACTTTCTTCTGCCCTCCTTTCATCTGCCCCACTGTAAGGCTCTAATATTCCCCCCCTTTCTGATTGTGGGTCCTAAGTCTCTCCCCAGAGAGGGTCCCACCTTAACCCCTGGGGGAAGGAATGTGAATGTCATGAAGCTTCCATAAAACCTAAGAGGAGTCAGTGACTCACACCTGTAATCCCAGCACTTTGGGAGACGAGATGGGAGGATTGCTTGAGCCCAGGAGTTCAAGACCAGCCTGGGCAGCATAGTGAGACCTCGCCTCAACAAGAAATAAAATAATTAGCCAGGCATGGTGGTGTTCACTTGTGGTCTCAGCTACATGGGAGGCTGAGGTGGAAAGATCATTTGAGTCCAGGAAGTCAAGGCTGTTGTGAGCTGTGATTATGCCACTGCACTCTAGCCTGGGTCACAGAGTGAAACTTTATCAAAAAAAAAAAAGGAAAGAAAGAAAGAAATGGTGACAAGATAAGAATATAAATATCCTTATTCTAAAGAGAATTTGATACTTTGAGACTGGTGCACATCAAAGACTGTTAGAGATGAAAAAGAAACAGGTCACGACTATTTAAGGATGCTCAAAATAGCCATCATGAAAGGTAGTATTTGGATGGGTGGCTGTGAGTGGGGATGTAGTGACACAGGATTGGAATGGCTGCTGGAACTGGGAGCAGAAGTGTAGAATTGCGGACATAAAGTATGAGGTGAGTGGTCAGTGAGATGGTGAAGTTCTCAAGCAGGGCAGCAAAGGACAGGTGATGTAGCAGAGAGCAGCTCCGAGTCCCTTAAAATAACCTCATTGCTTGCACGCTTTGGGTGTGAGAACTAGAATTCTCTACCTTTAGGAACCTGCAAATGTCACTGGCCTTTTGGTTTGCCTTAGAATGATGGTGTAATAACGTCTGGTAATTTTAAATTTGTCTTCCCACATGGCTCATGTGGGTGAAATGATAGCTTATGCACATTGTGCCTGATTTCTTATTCAGTGCTGGGTACCTTAAAGATTTTGTTCATTCATCTACCTATGTATTTATTTACTAGGGATAGAACTTTTAGCCGAATTTGAAAGAGAGCTGGCAAGACACGAGAAGAACCGCCAGGAGCTGGCTAACGCCGAGAAGCTTTTTGACCTCCCTATCACAATGTACCCAGAGCTGCTCAAAGTGCAGAAGGAAATGAACGGGCTGAAGATGATCTACGAGCTCTACCAAGAACTAAAGGTGCACATCTCCCAGAGATCAACCTCCCCTAAGGGCACGTGGAAACTCATCAGGCCTCTTGGGGTCTGATGGTTACGGTCAAGAGTTTGGGTCAGATTTTGCAAAAACACACTCATTTGTGCTGCAGGAAGGGGGCACCGGGGAGTGGCTGCTCATGGGAACGGGGTTTCCTTTTGGGATGTCGAAAACGTTCTAGTGGTAGTCGCCTAACACTGTGAATGCACCTGATGCTATGGAGTTGTACATTTTTAAATGGTTAAAACGGTCAGTTTTATGTTCTGCGCATTTCACCACCATCGTACAAATGAAAACGCTCTCTTTGGAAGTCCAGGGCTTGGTTAAGGTGTGGGGCAGACTCTTAGAGGAAAGTAGAAATTTAAAGAAGCAAATATTGACTGGGTTCGATGGCTCAGCCTGTAATCCCAGCACTTTGGGAGGCCAAGGTGAGTGAATTGCCAGAGCCCACGGGTTCGAGACTCACCCAGGCAACTTGGCAAGACCTTGTCTCTACAATAAGTCAAAAACTAGCTGGGCATGGTAGGACATGCCTGTAGTTCTGGCTACTTGGAAGGCTGAGGCAGGGGGATTGTGGAGCCCAGCAGGTCGAGGCTGCGGTGGCCAGGAGCATGCCACTGCACTCCAGTCTAGGTG